TATATAGTTGACCCGATCCACAATTACATAATTATTTAAGTCAGAAAAGATGACCAAAATGTTGACCCAATTTTATATTCAGCGGCTAGTGTGGAAAATAAATGTGTGATTAAATTGATTAATGGTTTATACACTATGGGTACTACTCAAGTATAAGTATCGTTTCAAGTAATATAAAGTTTTCTTTAAAAACCTCAATATCGAACTCACAAGGAATAAGGAATTTACTATGTTAACTTAGAAATATTTCTACTTAAACTATAAACTAAATTCACATGAGAATAATATTGAACTGTTTGTAAAAGTTTATAACTAAAGTTGCTACTTCTAACTTAAAATGAAAGTAAATGCAAAGTCTATAAATTATTGATGTGTAAGGAAGTAAGATTATAATAAAAAAGTTTTCCCCCTTTGCAAAGAGATTGTAAATCAGTGTAGGAATTAAATGATTAAAGATGAAAATGAGGTATTGTGACAAAAAGGAGCATACCTATTATTTACCCCTTACGAGCATAAAGAATATTAGGTAATCTAAAGTTAGTTCCAGCTTGTGTGGTTATGTTGAGTAGATTCTAGTGTCTCACTTCTAGATTACCCATTGTGCCCTCTCTATAGGATTAACCAGGGGCCCTTAGTTCCAACTTTGGACCAAATTGGTAAAGGATATAGCTTGTCACCCTATAAACACCAATTCTATGCCCATAAAAAACTTATCTCCCTATATATTTGCACTCCCCCTGGATTTGACATCTCTTTCCTCCAAGGTTTAGTGTGGTACTCATTAGTTGGTGTAATCATAGCCCTCCTGGGTCATTATGTTTTACAATGGGTTTTAACATCACAATAGACCAATTTGCAAATTAAATAAGGAATCGATAAAAATACCATCACAACTTATTTGAATAAAAGAATTCTTTAAAACATTTTAATCCCACACATCATTACTTCTTATTGCAAGGAAAAAAAAAGAAAATTAATCAGAAATCATGGGGATAACAAAACAAAATATTATATATATAAAAACCAAGTTTACAAGACAAATCTTAAACAAAAGTACAAATACCTAATTCAAATTTCTCCCCAAGAAATCCTCTGAAGTTTTCTGACAGAACTTGACTCCATAAGACTCACACAAGACTCTACAATCACCAAACTCCCGCTCACCCCTATAGTGGCCTAAACTACTAAAAAAAAAGTTTCTCTTTATTTTTTCTTTGGACATGTAGAAATGTCTTCTATGTATAAAGCTCTGAAACTAAGGGTCACTTAAAGCACATTTTCAAAATTTCTCCAAATTCATTGAATCTTGGCAAAACAATTTATGGCTCCTTGGTGCCCAACCGTCGCGCCTAGACGCCCAACCGTCGCGCCTAGGCGCCCAACCGTCGCGCCTAGGCGCCCAACCGTCGTGCCTAGGCGCCAGCCATCGAGTCTCCTTAACACCTAGGCGCCAGGTCACCTTATATATCTTTTGGCTTCATTTGACTCATTTTTGCTCCGTTTTTATCTTTTTTTCTCTTAAACTCCATTTCTTGCACCTGAAATCAAAAAAACATAAATTATCTTTTATTAAAGCTCAATATCATTAAAAATAAGCATGAAATACACATAAAAAATAAGTAATTTTAAGGCGTGCCAATAGCCAACTTCTTGAGCCTCCCCTATTGAGGGAGATCCATTATGTACGAGATGAGACTCTTTTTTTCCAGTTCTGAAAGCTCATAGAGAGTCATTGGGGTATTAAATTTAGTTCATCAATATACCTATCGACAACTAATTAGAAGGAATGGATGAACTATTGTTGAAAATCACATTAGGTGCTCTGTAGGAAAGAACATCTAACAATGAAACCTAGATTCTATCAGAGAAGAAGAAGAAGGGGCTTCTCCTGAATGGTTGCTAATGAGAGTGACACAACCTACCACAAATTCATCCTGGAATTGTTTTTTTCTTCACATACTTGTTTATCAGTTAAATTTCATTGAGTGCGAGAAGTGGAAGAAGGTCTAAGTCCTAAGGGCTTGAGAGTTATTTTGAAGGAATCTGCGCCATTATACAGGTCTGGCCAAGGTTGTGTCAAAAGAGAATAGATATTTATTCTATGAAGATATGTTTTGGAATGACAACACCTATATAATTAACTTATCAGGAGATTGTTATATTTCTACCCCTTTCAACGTGATCGACCTAATGTCATCTTACAAGGATAATGAAGCTTCGATGGGTGAGTTTGAAGCTCCCCCAACCTCGAGAAACAAATGCAGGTGCGTCTTCTACATCGAACACCTGACGCAGCGTCGGTGTGCCTCCTAGACAGAATGCGGGAAACTACAACTCCCAAAAGAGCGGGGGTAGGTCGCAAGTCGCGTTTTCCTTCTTTTTATGATTTATTTCCTATGATCCTTCATTCTATTTTAAACCTTTTCCATATATGTGTGTATTAGGGTTTGGATTGGCAGTTTTGGGCTCATATTTTCTGTTAAGCCAGCCTTTGACGTCTATTTTGCCCTTTTAGGGTTGTTTCTGAGGGATTAGGTGGTGTTTTGACTATATCTATATCCTGATGTGGTGCTTATCTTCCCTACCTCCTTTTGCTTCCTCTCCACATCGCTCTATGCCACCCTTCATCGCAGTAGCCACCCAAAATATTGTTATGGTTACTATTTGCTCTAATTTCAGCCATCATCATTGCCTTCTCCGCTAGTTCTAACCCACCAACTTTGTTGTCATTACTATCCCACCATCCTATACCAGTGCTGCCACTCTTAAACCTCTTCACCTTATTGTTTTTATGCAACCTCTAGCCAACCAGCAGCCTCCTCTACCCTTCTGGCATTGTTGCCTCCCAAACCTTCCCTTTTCAATCTTATTTCTACTATTCCAACCCTCGCATCGTTCTGCTACCGCCCAGAACAGCCAGGGAACACCGCTTTCTTGCTTTTTCACCACTACCCACCTCAACTCTTCTCCGCCACCATCCAAGTCAGCAATCATACATGTTGTCCCTACATTTTCACACATCCTCCTCTCTGTTACCAGCATTCCTTTGTTGTCGCCACACCCGCCAGCCATTCCAGTTCACCAAGATGACCTTCACCACTCTTGGGATGCACTTTAGTGCTACTTACTTGTGTCGTGTTATTCTATTTTTTCTTTCAAGTGTGTTGGTTGTAACTGTTTATTTATTTATAATAATATTAGTTGCTTTCCTATTGTGGTTTGGTTTAACTCCGGTATCACTTTAGCATATCTCTAGCCCTTTCATGTTGTTAATGCTTCCACTCTCATGGCTTCTTTGGGGTATATCACTCTCTCTTAGAAGGGTTATGTTTTCCTAGTCTAACACTCTTATACATCCACATTTTTCTTTCATGCCATTTCTTCAAGTTCTACATTAGCCACACCATATAGTTCAACTTGGATTTTAAGTTCTCAAATTTTGACAAGTCTTCTTTGTTATTTGTCATTGTTTCCAATGGTTTTATCATTTGTTTGAAAAAGTCTATATATCTCAATTATAGGAGTTATCCATTTAAGTTGTTTTGTATGTTTCCAATTTTTATTAATTTTCAACTCATTCATTGTCTAATTATAAACTTACAATTGCTCCATAAATTTATTTCCATCTCATTTTGTTGTTTAGAATCTCATTACGAAGAAGTTAATCTTTGGAGTTTTTGAAGGGGTTTACTATTTAATGAATAAGGTCCCTTCTACCTTCTCTTTCGTTATTACTTCACATTAGTATCATTATCATTTGGGTTGTCATTCACTTCAAAGAATTTTGATTTTGTTATTGTTTTATTCTCTTTATCTTGGTTTGAATGTGATATACTTGTTAGTTATACAAACATTATCAAGTATCGTTCCATCTTCTATATCAACGTTTATTAGTGTCTCATTTGGGTTAGTTGATTTTGATTTTTTGTAATCCTAATTGTGTTCTTAGTAGAGTCTAAACACTTCGTTATTTTTTTATGTTATTTTCGTGTCACATGAGTGTCCTTGTGCACAAATTTGAGTCTTATTTGTATTTCACACAATTCAGAAATAAAAGTTTATAATTATGCTATAATTAAAATTTCCATGTTGATAATGCTTAGGTGTATATATTTGTAATTTACTTATTTTTTATGCCGCCAATGGAACGACATATTAGTTTTTTGCAGTTTTATATACTCGCATTTTATGTGCAAATGATCTTAAATGTTAGATAGTAGGAACAGTAGAAACACCCACAATAAGATAAAACTCTAAAATTCAAGCCAGTCAATAGAACGATAAATTCCTAATTAACCTGTATAAGTTTCAAAACAAGTTCTTAGATGATTTATAAATGAGATTTTTTTTAGTTGTTTATGTTGGGCAGTCCACCGAATTTAATTTGCTTCCTAATTAAGTATCCCACTTACCGCTCACCTACCTCCTACCTATCGCTCTCATGGTTTCTATAAATAATATCTTTTAGTTTAAAGGAAATGCAAGTCAGGCAAAGCCAAGCAAGGCCAAGCCAAGTCATCTTGAGAGCTAAGAGAAAGAGAGCAAAAAGAGAGCGCCAAGTCATCTTGAGAGCTAAGAGAAAGAGAGCAAGAGAGAGAGAGAGAGGAAGGGAGAGAAGAAAATAGAAATTTTTTTGTGACGATGTAATTCCTCAACGATGTAATTCCTCAAAGTAGTAAAATCCTCTGTAGCTCCGTGGACGTAGGCAATTTTTCCGAACCACGTAAATCTGTGTTTCGTTCTGGTGTTTTTTTCTCGTTCCATTTTTTGCTTTATTGCCGTCATTTTTTTCACAACAACTGGTATCAAAGCATTTGTTGGTTCAGATCTAAGGAAGAACAATGGACGGAGACGAAGTGATGACATCGAGGATCGAGAAGTTCAATGACACAGATTTTACTTACTGGAGGATGCAAATATAAGTCTACCTCTATGGAAAGAAACTTCATCTTTCGTTACTGGGAAAACGACCAGAAAAGATTGACAAGGCAGAATGGAATATGTTGGATCGACAAGTTCTGAGGGTTATACGATTAACCCTATCGAGATCGGTTGCCCACAACGTTATCAAGGAGATGACTACTGCAAATCTCATGACAGCTTTATTATGTATGTATGAAAAACCATCGGCGAATATCAAGGTGCATCTGATGAAAAAGTTATTCAACTTGAAGATGACGGAAGGTGTGTATGTTGCTCAACATCTAAATGATTTCAACACTATCACAAATCAGTTGTCGTCTGTTGAAATTGATTTTGATGATGAGATACGTGCGCTAATATTGTTGGTTTCATTGCCAAATAGTTGGGAAGCCCAAATAGTTGGGAAGCTATGAGGATGGTAGTTAGCAGTTCTGCAGGTAAATCTAAATTGAAATATGATGATATTCGTGATTTGATTTTTGCTGAGGAGGTGCTCTAGAAAGATTTTGGCGAGACCTTGGGTTTGAGTTCAACACTGATTGTTGATTCCAGAGGGAGATCACAAGACAAAAACTCAAACCGTGGAAGATCAAAATCAAAGTCAGGTGAGTCCCGATAAACAAGTAACTTGCTGGAATTGTGGAAAAACTGGCCACATAAGGAGGAACTGCAGGAATCCTAAGAAGAAGGAGAATGATAATATGACGCTAATGTTGTAACTGAAGAAATACAGGATGCACTATTTCTGGCAGTTTACAATTTTGTTGATAACTGGATACTGGATTCAGGGGCTTCCTTTCATACATCTTCCCGTTGGGAGTTAATGCAAAATTATGATTATGAATGCAAAATTATGTTACAGGTAACTTTGGGAAGGTATATCTGACTGATGGAAAAGCTCTGGACGTGGTGAGAATGAGAGACGTTGATATTACACTCCCTAATACTTTGCAAAAGGTCAGACACGTTTCTGATTTGAAGAAAAACCTCATCTCTGTTGGGCATCTCAATGAGGGTGGTCATTCGGTAGTGTTCTCAGATAACACCTGGAAGGTTACTAAAGGAGCATTAGTACTGGCTCGAGGTAAGAAAACTAACACACTATATATGACTACAGGTTTACTCAGACGATGACACATGAGTCAGAGGTGCATTATGGGAAAGCAGAAGAAGGTCAATTTTCTGAAAAGTGATAGAGCGCCAAAGGCAGGAAAACCAGACCTTGTACATATAAATGGTGGAGAAACCACAGAGTTATGAAGAAATCTTGCAAGATGAGAATTCGAGCAAGTGGGAGCTGACCAAGAAGGAGGAGACAAATTCTCTACCAGGGAATCAGACTTGGGAGCTGGTAGAACTTCTATCGAGAAAGAAGGCATTGCACAACAAGTGGTTGTACCGGGTGAAGAGTGCGCTTGGTGGCAGTAAGAGCTACAAGGCTGGACTTGTTGAAAAGGGCTTTTAGCAGAAGCAGGACATTGCTCATGCAGTGGGAGTTGTAAGCAGATACATGAATAACCCAGGAAAGTGCTTGTCGGTACAAGGCTACGTTGATGATGATATGTCAACTAAGGGTGTTACTCGTGAGAAGCTGATGTTGTGCTCAACTTCAGCTGGTCTTCTGACATGAAGAACAAGGTTTTGAGTTGCAGATGTAGAGGATATCATGCTTGAGGAAAAGGTCGGTATAGCTAGTAGATGATGCAACAAATAGGTGATGTAGTCAATGTCCCAGACTCTAAGTGGGAGAATTGTTGGGTAATGTGGAGACCTAGTCCACCGAATTTAATTAGCTTCCTAATTAAGTATCCCACCTACCGCTCACCTACCTCCCACCTACCGTTCTCATGGTTTCTATAAATAGTTTCGTTTGGTTTAAAGAAAATGTAAGCCAAGCAAAGCCAAGAAAGCCAAGCAAGGCCAAGCCAAGAGGCCAAGCCAAGTCATCTTGAGAGCTAAGAGAAAGAGAGAGAGAGAGAGAGAGAGGAAGGGAGAGAAGAAAATAGAGATTTTCTTGTAAAAGTCGAGGAGCTCGACGGTGTAATTCCTCGAAGTAGTAAAATCCTCTGCAGCTCCGTGGACGTAGGCAATTTTGCCGAACCACGTAAATCTGTGTGTCGCTCTGGTATTTTTTCTACGTGTAATTTTTTCTCATTCTATTTTTCGCTTTATTGCCATCGTTTTTTTCACAACAGTTTATTATTATGTATTTGAGGCATTAAAGTTGCTAAGTTAATCATTACACACACACGAGTAAATGAACTGAAAATAAAATTAAGCTTAAAATTTATTAAAAATATATTTAATTCATTGTAGAATATGTACTTCAATTGCAATGTAAAATTAAGGGCGGTCTTAAATTAAGTATAAGAAAATTTTTATCAGTCGTTAATAAAAATTGGTCCTATATCATTCTATATGAAATGAATCATATTACATGATCTATTTTTTAAATAATTATAACATTAGATTTATTTTGTATCATACAATGAATGTAGTTAGTTTAATTTATTCGGAAGATAGAACTTATCTTATTAATAATAATTCAAAATTCAAAATGGTCATAAAGAACAATATATTTCATCATATATTAATTACTTTTTAAGGCAAAACTAATTGAAAAATTAATTTAAGGCAAATTCTAGAATATTTAATTCTAATTTATCATGTCATAAGATCAACAATCATTTTAATTTTGCATTTAAATATAGGGCTTGCTTGAGCCACACTTAATATATAAAGCTGATTCTAAATTATAAGTATGTAGAGAAAGGTTCTTGAATGAGACTCAGTTAGCCACCACTCTAATTCTAAGAGAAAGTGTTGTTAGTAAGATAAAGATATAACATATATTGGTTGTCACTTTTATCTTGATACCTTATGTTCATCATGATAAAATATTTAAATACTTTGAGTGGGTTTATCTTATATTTATGAGAGATTTAGGATCTCAAAAGCAATTGCTAAACATGGTGTTAAGCCAGAGTAACTTTTTCTTAGCTCGACTAAAAGAGGGAGTGTATTCTTTTTTTATTATCCATTTATAAGAGAGAATTCTTAGTCTTGTACTGACAATAGAGAGTGAGAGAGGGGAGAGAGAGGACGGAGGGAGGGAGGGAGAGGGAGGGAAAGGAGCGGGAGAAGGAGAGTGATATATATATAGATATATATAAAGTCTTTGGACTCAAGGAGTTATCAAAAGCCATTATCATGAAGCATAATACATTAGTATGCATCTCTTTAGTTTTTTATATATATACTTTTATCAAATCTTTTTTTTTTTTTGTATTTTAAGTTATATGATATTTGATGTAAAAGTTGTTGTATTTTAAAATATTTGTGATATAAAATTTGAGGAAGGAGTTTGAGAGATATTTTATATTTAAAAAAACATATGCAAAATAATATGTTGGTAAGTCAAAAGAAAATTATACTTCTATTTCATCTTTCATTAAAGAACAATATTAGCAAATCAACCTTAATGTAAAAAAAAAGAAAAATATCAATTGTCAATATTATTTCAAAATCACATTACCCCCCTTTTGGGTGTTTAATAATTTACAAAACACATCTTGTGAAAGTTACAAAGTTCAAACCATAGAACCTTAAAATTATTAACATAATTTCAAACCTTGTGTTCCAACCTTAAGTTTGCATGAAAGTTTGGACAATGTTTAAATAAAACTTTCAAAAAAGTTCAAAAAGGCTTAAATGTACATTGAACCTAGTTAAAATTTACTTTGAGCTCTTTTTTATGAATTTGAAACAAAATTTATTGAATTCTTTTAGAAGGTAGGGTCCCATATTGTTCGTGGGCTCACACAACCTAGGGGAGATCTGAGAGGATGAGGGTGAAGATGATGGAAATGATAATCTAGATCATGAACTAGATCATACAGGGATGTTCATGACGATACTTGAGATCCCCCATTCATGGTTACATGGAGAGAGAATAAAGAATATTAAGTTATGATTATATAGCACAAAGTTTGTCCACGTACGATGACCTTATAAAAGGATGATGATATGGATATCTTGCAGCTCATAAATGGTCATGGACTTATGTATGTTCTTCAATGATGAACTTCACTTAGATGTTTTATCGATACATTGATATATAATCATACACCAATCCTCAATAGGATTGTGGTGAATCAACATGTAAGGTGGCTTGTTTATTATGGCCGAAAAAGCCTTATTTTTGCTTTTTCCACAATTCAATATGTGACAGAGCGACCTCCAAGATCAACTTCATTAATTTTAGACTATCTTATGCCCGTGAACTACAACTTGCTTATAGAAAGTAATCTCATAAACTTACTGTAGAGTTCAGACTATCTTTTGATTGAGGGTCAGTTCTTTCCTTCAGGGAGTAGTCACTTGAACTTTCTAGTAAGTGCATACTTATTCCTCTCATTGGGGTTTGTCTCATTGTTAGGAAATAATCACTTGAACTTATTGATTTTAAGGTTTTGTATCACTTCACCCAGGTATGTCAATAGCAAAGCAAAATTTTCCAATGATGTGGGTAATGATATGATGTAATTGACATAATAATTTTACGAGGGATAAAAAATGAACAGAACTTGAAATTTCCCTATATCGGCAATGTTACCATTGTTGTATGTTTTTCATAACCTTTTTATTGTTAGGAAATCACCATCCTTTGATTTGAAATAAGATTCAATTACAGGCATTTGATGCTCTTTTGAATGTTTTTGCACTATCAAAAAAAAAAAAAAGAGAATCTAAGGCTTTAAAGTCGGAAATAATATTAATACTTACATAATTTTTCAAGTGTTAACTTCCTTGTTAGGTTGTAAGACAGTTGTGTGGATGTTGTGAGAATTTGTCATAACAATCTCTGTTTTCAAAAAGGTTATTTCTCATCCTTCATCAGACCAGGATTACCCTATCCATTGACTTGTCCCAATGGATAAAATATTTGTCTAGAAGTTGAAGGCTTTCGAAGAGAGTTTAATGACGACTTTACAATGTAAAAGAAGAAAGGAGATCATTCAAATGGAAGTGAAAATATCGTTCTAATTACTTGCATTTGGCTTCAACTAAGGTTCCCATTTAAGAGGTTTCTTATTCTCAGTCGCCATTCATGGTGTTAACACATGATCTGTTAAGTGGCGAATACTCTTTCTCTAGTATAAATTCACATCTCAGCAATCAATGAGGCAAACCGTGGTTTTCCTATGACTAAAACTTCATCTATTGAGATGCTTGAGCAGTGTCTATGAGATTATTTTCATGTTTTCTTGATTATGGCTCAAATTACTTTCTTGTGTATTAATAGTTTCGTTAGCAGTAATTTGTACCTTGATATGAAGTATGATATCAACATACAAACGAATCATCTCCCCAAGAAAAAAAACAAGTAGAAAGGACCAAAACGTAGTCCCCCTAAGAACACACCTCTTAGTAGCTCCAGATCTACCCCTAGGATTTGATGAGTTTCAATAGAGAATCTTAGAAAATAATCATTCAATGACTGCCCCCACTTGGGCAAATCTGAGTGAGGTGAGATGAGACTTTGATGATCCTTTGATTTGTAATGATTTACTTTGCAAGCACTTTAGTGAACTCATCTAAGGCATGAATGCTCCCTGCAGGAGCAAGTAAAACTAAATATGTGCTTTCCCTTTATAAGTTGTAAGAAAAAAACTGACACGGGGTATATCAGAAGCTTGTCTTATGTGCACGATGGATCTAAAGTTATTAACTCGTAACATATTACATGAGATCGAGTTAAAATCTCTACATGTGTTGGAGTTTTGTTATTAGTCTTAGTGACAGAAGGTAGATGTGTAGAGCTTGTAGTTTCCATGAGTTCAATTTCCTGGAGGGGGGGAACTTCAATCTGTGGAGGGGGTGCCAATTGTGCACCTTAGGCTGATGGATTTTGAAGTAGTTGTGCTCCTCAAGTATCACAATTATCCGTTGTCGAGCTTAACATAAAATTTAGCTCATCTCATTTTGAGACTCTTCTACCCTTCTTACTGAATCTTCAAGTGGTACTAAAGAGGTTCCTTCGCTATTAGGATAATGTGTATCAAGGAACATGGAGTAGAAGCTTGGCGTTCAAGATTTTAAGATTGCAACCAGAACTGATAAGTGTTAGGTGAAGAGCTCGTGTATTTTGCTTATTAACCATCGATGAAGTTTAGAATTTTATCAATGGAACTTCGTTTCTCATAAACGACATAAAATTGTTGTGTGTCAGAAGATTCATGGTTGTAGAGTGATAATTTAACATCTTAATATTATCTCCAACACACACACACACAGATACAATAGAAATAACGGGAGAAGACAGTAAATTTTTACTTGAAAAAAATTGGAAAGGGGAAAAACCACAGGGCCTTGCCCAGTGAATATAATTCGCTATAATTGTGTAATTACAAAGATACACTTATATTCCATAATTGGGAAAGAAGTTTTACAATGCTACGTCAAGTACAAGACTTGTCCATGCATGATATACAAAAGACTTTATGACTATGAAGAAAGTCACATATGAGTACAGTGGTTGTAAGCACTTTTCGTCGGATCTGTAATGCAACATTATACGTTACATCATATTTGAGGTACTTTGTTACATTTTATTTTGGTTACTTTGTTGAACATTATTTGGAGATACATCATTACACAACAGGGTTCACTGATATTGGTGAGCATGGGGTGCTCGACAATGAATAATGATGGGCGTCGAGTGGTTGTCGACGACTAAAAAGGTCGAAAGTTATTATTGCGTCTTCAGTCCAAAACATAACTAGAATTTGACTCATTCTCCTTCCTCCCTCAAGTGAAGATATGTGATCTATTTATAACCATTGAGGGAGGAGCATTTTGGTTATTTAACGAATAACTCTTGTAACCATTTGATCGGACGACTCATATTGACCCCCAGCTGATCACATTTTTTTAGTAATTTAAGAACCTTAATGACCTCAATATTAAAGAAGCTTAGGCTCGTTGGATTCCTCATGTCGAAACACTCGATCCGACTATAAGTATGTTAAATTTGGAGTTCATTTGATCATTTAATTGAAGATCTCATGCCTTCAAATATCTTTCAATGTCTTGATCTGGACTTGTTTGAACTCAGATATGACTAATTTTGGTATCATCTGGTTTGTCTTGTTGAGATGGTCAAATTGGTTATAAACTTGCTAAGATTGGGGCCCTACACG